CATCACTGATATGGGTAATGGTATACATGAAAGTCATATTTAATAAATGATGAGAATATTTGGATCATTTCATTCTCACGTTTCAATGAATATGAAAATATATACAATTTTCAATTTAATATTACAATAATAATAATAATAATAATATTGTATAAAATTACATCAGTTTTTATATAAAACAAATATATGTATACTGTATGCATAATATATATTACAGTAGTTTTTATGTTAGCACCGGGCGATTTCCAGTTGATTTGTGCCAAATTATTGGTGACATCCAAATTGATATGAATAAATGCAAGAATTTATTATGGAATTTATGATTACAAACAAATAAACAAAAAATATTTGATTGCTTTTGACATTTTAAATGCTTAGATGTTTGTTAAGATAATTATTAATTATTAATTTATAAATATATATTTTTTGCATTTCTCATTTTATATATTATATTATATATATATAACTTATATATTGATTAATTTTCATTTGAAATAAAAACTGCATTTATGTTTTTAAGCTAAAAAACTAATAAAAATGAATTGATTTTGTGATTAGCTTTTAAATATTGCAGATATTTATATACTGTACATAATATTGAATAGAAAGTTGCTTTCAGTCAATAGCAGCGCATTGTTCACTGTTTGTAATGTAAGCGCCGGTAATGTCGATCATAATTAAAGGTTAGACTATTGAGTCATTCACTTAAAATTACAGACATTTTTGTTGAGTTACATAACTTTTAATAGTAGTTATCATCAATGTTTGTCATCAATGGTTGTCATTTCCAATGATGGCTGATGTTTGCTATGAAAAGTCAATACTGGGAGCTCTAGTAATGTGATTATGTGTGTGTATGTGTGTGTGTGTGTGTGTGTGTGTGTGTGTGTGTGTGAGAGAGAGAGAGAGAGAGAGAGAGAGAGAGAGATAGCTTTTAGCATATCTATAACCATCAATTGATCCATAAGGATGTTGATTGAGTTGTCTTCACCACTCATTTATATTGAATACAACTGTCAATACCAATACTGAAGAATTATAGTCATAGTTTTAAAGGTATAAATTGATTGACAGGTAAAGCCATCACTTGCCTGAAAGCGACTATTTGTTGTCGCCTTAAAATAGAGGGTCAGGACTTGTGTCTCGATATCTGGGCGTTCAATAAGATCTATCTCTTACTGTTTAATACCTATAATGTCTGTTCGCATACAATCTACTAAACATTATATATAAATATAAAACATTAGTTATATTTTGACAGTAAAAGTCAAAACAGTTTTTCCACTCATCTCTATCGCTAAAGTTTAGTCTCTTATACTAAATGGCAGTCAAAGTAATCGATAGCTTTTAATTTGATTGAAAATATAGTCAATCTATTTTGTAGGCACTGAATAGTATTTGATGTATATTTTTATACAATATATGCAATATATGTATGGCTTATCTCTGTTTTTAAAAATCAAATTTGACTTAAAGACTAACCACAAGAGTAGTTATATATATGTAGTGATGAATAATGACAACAACAGTGTGTCTGATATTTAGCGCTGATATCAGTCGTCAAATGTCAACCATTCTGTCAACGCTTCACAACATTTGTCTTTAGGGCTAAAAAATAATATAACTTTATATTGATAATACTTACTCTATTTGTGAGTGAGTGAGTGAGTGAGTAAGWGAGAGAGAGAGAGAGAGAGACCTCAATTATTCATTATTTTTTGGACATAGACTAGACATATATGAGCTATGAATGTGATGACAGATCCCGATYTCTGAAAAATGTAGTCTTTATTTGTTTGTGTGAACACACAATTAATTGTTATGGTATGCAAATTGTTATCATTTAGCGTTCAATTACATACTCAGCAAAAATCATAATCGTAATAATGACATTACCAGTACTTATATACATATATATATATATATATATATATATATACTGTGTATATATTTTAGTATTCACTTAACATATAATTCAGTATATTGTTATACAATAGTAATGTAATGATTTTTTTGAACGCAATTTCATGTTTTGTTTTTTTAGTTTGAAATATATATATTAAATATAATATATTTATATTAGTTCTTTAATATGTATATGATGTTATATATATATATAAATATTAGTACATTTATTAAATCATATATTGAATTGCCAGATGTGTGTATTCAACAAAACAATCCGATTGTGAGACCCATAACTAAAACACAAAAAAACTGAGAGAGAAATGCATTTTTATAGACATTTTCTATGGGAATCCAACCTAATTCACAATAATTATAACTCTTTTGAACTGAATTTAACTATTTAACCGCTTTTAAATAATATTAATATTTTTTTAGTTTTTAAAAATTTTATTATTTTAATATTTTTGCTCAATGTTTGTTAGCTTAGATAATCATAATCATAATAATGATAATATAATATAATAAAAAACTTTAATTATTAATAAGCATTTATAAATAATACAGTATATACAGTTTTCTCTATTGTATTAATGTTTTGCAAATAAAATAATTTATTTAAATTATTTAACAATAATAAAACATGTAATTTTTATATTTTCCCATGACTTTTGAAATATAATACAACTCAACAAAAATAATATTTAAAGTAATATGATATTTGAAAAATATTTTTCATACATGTATCTACTATTTTATGATATGATATCAATCTTTCAACTAGTTTTCTCATAAATCGATTTTTAAATATTACTATTCAATTAGATTCAATATAATATTTAAATGTCATCAACATTTTATATATCGATAAAAATGAGATATAATATTATAGTTTATATTCCATAAAATGCTTGAATTTTTAAAACTATTTTTTAAGTCTCTCTCTCTTTCTCTCTCCCAATACTTTAATTATTTCCTATGATTTTATTTATGAGCAAAAATTTTTTGTTTTGTTTGAATATTTATCAAATAAATAATAAGGTATTGAAGTGCTGTTTATACAGAATTTGCATATTATGTAAATGAATTACATTACAGTAACTAACAGACTATTGATTTAAATAACGTTGTTTTGTGTTTTGAATTTTTATAATATAATATTTATATATCATTTTACTCATATATTTAGTGTTTTTAGTTATAGTTTAGTTAGTTGTATCAGTTAGTGAATGGACACACAAATTATGAAAAACTAGTCAGTTTTAGGCCCAGTATCTCATAAATAAACTACAAGTCTATTATCACTCGTATCATAAAATTGGTGAACACTGACTGCCCTTTCAGTATGAAAACATAGGGTTTGATATATAGTATATTATGTACAGTACTTATACTGTATATTATATACTAGTAGTGCTCTCGATCCTTGTTTGCCATAAATTTATTTTAACCATTTTATATAATAAACTCTACAACATATAGATATTCTGGAGCCGGCGCTCAGTCACTAACTCATGAAACTAATGGTTGACTGACTGCTCATACCATACCATTGTGTGTGTGTGTGTGTGTGTGTGTGTGTGTGTGTGTGTGTGTGCACATAAATGCAGGTGTAGTGAGTCAGATCCAACTGAGAGAGAGAGAGAGAGAGAGAGAGAGAGAGATAATAATGTATGCATGAGAGAGATCAGAATATCCCATAAAAGTGAATATAATATCCAATCTGTTATACCTTTCCACCAGTTTTTAGATATTAATTAAAACCAAATACCAGAGAATGAAATGAGAAATATATATATATTTATATTATTTTTGTTATCAATAATTTCACTTTTCTTTCATTACTATTACCTATAAAGTGTGTTCATTAAACTACAATATATTAGACTCAATGAATTTCAATAATAATTGTTTTTAATTAATGAATGTTATTCCCATTTACCGGATATATTCAAAATCTAATTTATATACTGCATATAAAACTGGTACTAGTTTTTTGTTATTATATTTATTTTGAAGATAATTTGATTTAAAAATTCTTGTATTATATGAAATATTCTTTAATAATAATTGTTGAAAAATTTTGATTTAAATATTATCAATATTTAGGATAMTGTACGCTACGATATTATACAGTAAATATTAAATTATTCATAACATTGCCATTAAGTGTCATTTTAGGACTGATTTGTTTTGTTCAATAATTGACAAAATAAATCCCAATATAATAGTTTTTACTAATCATTAATTCATTGATACTGTCGGTGCTGATTGTCAATTGATTGTGTGATTTAATAGCAATTCCTCAAATTGAAACATATATTATGCCATTTAATGGCAATAATGTTGATATTGATTGGCATAAAATGATTATAATTACATTTTATTTACATTGAACTATGTTATTATGGGCCCAATACCATGRGGTAGGTGAGTGCTAAACAGCACCGGTACATATAGTAGATTGTAATATCTATAAGAGGGGAGAAAATAGTATAATATTTATTGCTTGATATTGTTATTGTTGTATTGGCTCCTAATTCTTGTATTGTATTCAATAATAAAATTGAAAGTCTTTTTAAATATAATGTATGTTAGGCTCGACTTATTCCCTATTATATATCGACGCTTTCTCTCTCTCTTTATTCAACAATACATTGTTGAGGGGACTGACTATACGTTTGTGAACAACACACACACACACACACACACACACACACACACACACACACACACACACACACACACACACACACACACACACACACACACTGTTTTACCTATTGTTATAGACAACCAACAAATTGACTGAAATGATACATAACTAACAATAATGGCATTGTGTCAGACATATAAATATATTGAATAGAAATATAAAAGAAAAAATATAGTTTTTTTCGGTAGTATTACCTAATGTTTTTGAGGTCCCCTTATTAGGGAAACTGTTGGCACTGTTAGCTTTGCCACCAACACTACATACAATAAAAAACAACAGTCACACAGTCATAACCTTATGATTGTATTTCTGCCGGAAAGCAATCCATTTGTCATTTATATAATTATGTTTATTCATTCATTATTATATCATTTCACAGTTGCCATACATAAAGAGCGCCACCAGCATCACCAGGGTATCCACGATGCCATGGCTCACCACAAGCCACCGCACCGGGAGCTGCACTATCCCGAAGCACTCATGGAAGGTGATCTCATTCTCCAGGTATGTGAGCCAACCATTAATGTCACCAATGGATCAATTTATGTGACATATATAATGACATTTTCTTGTATTAATATTTATTGATAACTWTTATCTATTGATATATTTTTTTCAGGCATTGAATGGTTTTTTACTGATCCTGACCTGTGATGGGGAGGTCTTCTATACCTCACATACTGTCGAAACTTACTTAGGCTTTCATCAGGTATTTTGACCCCATTTACCACTAAATTATTATTATTATAATAAATAAAAGCAAAACATATAYAGACTTTTCAATTATATCGTATGTCATCTTATTTATTCATGACGTTTAACACAACAACAACAAACAAACTGCCCTTTAATTGTCTGTCCTTATTATTATTATTATTATTATTACCAGTTTTTTGCATTTTCCTAAATATATACATACCAAGGTCTAATCACATATACATATATAATCTTACATTGCATATTAGATGTACATATTTTACATGTATATGCAATAGGATGTTACATTATGTATAAAATTTAGTATGCAATTTGCCAACAACACAATGCATATACTATATACTATACAATACATCATGTATTAAATACTAGTATAATCACAACAACAACAAAGTTTTATATTTACAAATTTTTGCAAAACTAATGACATTCAATTATTTGTCCATTTATATAACATTGTACTATGATTTTAAATATACATTACAAATTACAACAAGGTGCATTAGTTGAGGAAATCACTGTAACTGGCAAACGAGACATACAACAGTGTCTATTATAATTTTATATACTATACTATACCATACCAGCGCTGCTAATATATACTGTATATACCTGTGCTATAATCAAATGCCATAGTAATGCATAACTACTGTAAGTCAATTGCACTTTTAAATTATATGCCGTTTTGTTGGTTATTATTATTATTTTCAACTATTTTTTATTTAAGCGAGCATTGAATTAAATTTAATTATTTATTATGAGTTAGCAATCGATCAAAAAGTTAAAAACATTATACTTATTATTATGACATTTACTGCTTCTTGTGTTTAGCCAAAAATACCTTATTTTAAATTTAAATTTAATTTTTATTTAAAAAATATATTCAGTTTTAGCTATTACATTGTATCATACTTTTATAAACTAAAAAACAATACATTTAAAAAAGTTAAACTGATTTTAGTTCAAAAGTGTTTCAACTGATCACTTGTTTTTTGTTGTTGATTACAATAAATTATATTATATTGTAATTATATTTTCCCAATCAATATGTATATCGGTTTCTAATCGCTTACAAACAGCAACAACAACAACATAACACATAGCATTGTAAGCACAACACTAATGGCATTAATTAGCAATTATAACATTAAMAAAATAATCACTCAATTTTTACTTCAATACTTTATTTTCAGCTAAATATTTTTTGCAAACAATTTTTTGAACAAATTTTTATAAATTAGCTAAAAATCAATGAATGCCGACATCACTCATGACCCGAGAGCAAGATAGTGAGTGAGTGAGTGAGTGAGTGAGTGWGTGTGTGTGTGTGTGTGTGTGTGTGTGTGTGTGAGAGAGAGAGAGAGAGAGAGAGAGAGAGAGAGAGAGAGAGTTAGATATTTTGTATGCAATAAATCTTAATACTAAAAATATTTTTGTGGCAAATTTTACGACTACTGTTCAAAATTTTGTTCCCATATAACAGTAAAAGTGTTTTTGTTGTTAATGTTAATTGATTTTTTTCTGTAAAAATAATTTGTTTGTTACCCGAAAACAACATAGTTTTCACTCAGCTATCTCTCTGTAATATATTATTTTATAATTAATGTTCACTTAATGTTTATAGGTTTCTCACTTAATAAAAAAATTGTTTCAATTTATTGTTAAAATCCTTGCATATGTTTGATGAGTGTAACGAAAAAAAACAATTTTCACTATTTATTAACATTTTTTATATATAGCATTATTTAGAATAATTACTATATATTTATAGTTATTTAATGTTGTCGTTGTTGTTATCTAACATCAAACAAACCATTATCATGAATATGACTATAAAAATTACATTTTAAATAGTTGTCACATCATATATATGACACCTTAAAACTTAATTGTATTGTTATACCACTGTATATCACTTAAAAATTGAAACAAAATTATTGAGAAAAAAATAAGGGCGTAAATAGTTAGATAACTACTATTACTACTATTATCTATTATAAGTTGAGAGAACCATAAAGCTAGAGAACCGGGATGTTAGTACTTTAGTCAGTCTATTATATGGCTTAATGTATTTAACTATTATTATAATTATTTTATTACTGATAATGTGAACATTTAAAAAAAACTATTGTTATTATTAAGTGATAGTTAAAAATTAATGAAACACTAAATAATATGACAAAAAAAGTGTAAATTATTTATTCAATTTTATTCACAATAAAAAACTTGTATTTTATTAGAAAGTGTGAGAAAACAAAATTGTCAATTGTTTTTTTTAAAACTTTAAAAAATATATTTATGTAACCAGATATAAAACATATATATATATATAATGTATATAATATATTTGATAATTTAGTAAAACTGTGTAAAAGCAGAGTATATAACATATAAGTTTTATTCATTGTTAGACTATGAGAGCACCTGTATCTCAATGTGAGTTATCTCTGGTTAATGCCTAAAACCAGTAGACTTATACAGTATATGCGCTAAAACAATGCTTAAAGAATCCATGTGTTGCTATATTAATGCCATGCAATAATATATAGCCGCGATAGCTCAGTTGGGAGAGCGTTAGACTGAAGATCTAAAGGTCCCTGGTTCGATCCCGGGTCGCGGCGTTTAYTTTTTAGTTTATTTTTTTTTTGATTATTATTTTGTATTTTAAATATTTTTTATTATTATCATMGATTTTGTTTTTATTTAAACGATGGTATTTTTGTTACATTGTATATACAATTTATAACATGATTTTTTCTAAAACTAATTGTCTAATACAGTCTACAACTTATAGTCAACTGTTAAAACAACAACACAGCTGTCCTTATGTGTGGGAGTTTTTAAACATAATTATTTGAAATAATAATTATTAAACAATTAATGCAACGATAAATATAATTTAGATCCTTGTTTTTAATGGCAGTAAATGATCCATGAATTCAAATAAAACACATTAACAATATATATATATATATATAAATTGTGCAAAAACTATTATATGCTTTTCAATCACTATATTTTCTATACAAAAATTACACTAAAAAAGACCTTGATAGTTGCTATTTTTTAAAGYACTAACAACAATAACAACAAAATTTTATTTTATATCATATAAATACAATTGAATGGCTTATAACTAAAAAAATAAATAAAATTAATGCAATTAATAAAAAAAATCAAATTAAATAACTTTTTTATTTGTGTGTTATATTTGGCACAATCATAGTGTTATCATAATTAAAATCAAATATTAAATATTTTTTTTAATATTTGTATAAACTATAAATTAAAATTTGGTTTGAAACTTTATTATTATTTTGTCATTTATTATATATCTATTCAAAATAACACTACAGGTATTAAATTTTTATTTTAACAATAAACAAGTTTTAATTATTTATTGTCAATAAACAAAAATACATCTTTTATCTACAATCTTAATGAATTTTATTAAATACTTTACGTTTTTAACTAATTTAATATTAATTTATTTTTATTACTATAAATAATAAATAATTATTATTAATTTATACATACTATACTTTCAGCTTCTATTATATATTTTTCTAAAAATAAATTTAATTATAAATAATTTATTGTATATTTATTTAAAATAATTACAATAATTATGGCATTAATTTAGCATAATTCAGCAATTTGCATATTATGTAATTGATGAGTTTGCAATAAAAATATATTATTAAATATTATAATAATTTCTTGTTATACAATAAAATAACAATTCATGAATATTTTATTATACAACATTTAGGCAAAAAAATCTACATTATTATGCTATCCATAAAATTGACTAATTTTTAATTTAAAATAATTYAATCATAATATTTTTTATATGTAATAAATTTTCTTTTTTATTGATAATTCCTTAAAGAATTTTTAATATATAAAAAATTAGGCAAAATTATTGTCCGATTATTATCAACTTTGTTATGCTATAATAAGTGTGTGTAAATGTCATGTATATAATCACAGGTAGTAATCATTCAAATTGTTAATTAGAGTCTCATTTTTATATTAAAGTGCTGTCCAAATGAGATTTAGTTAAAAGTGTAAATTTTTTTCTACAATATACTTGGGTGCAAATTTTAAAGTTAATTATACCTATGTATGTATATCGGTATATTGTATACCAAATTGTTAGTCACATTTTGCTGTAAAAGCAGATCAACACATAAATACAACGACTCCGGCTGTTATTTAATGAATGCCATCAATAATGATATGATAGGCATTCACTTACTCTCTCTCTCTCTCTCTCTCTCTCTCTCTCTCTCTCTCTCTCTCTCTCTCTCTCTCTCTCTCTCTCTCTCTCTCTCTCTCTCTCTCTTACTCACTCACTCACACACTCGCTTGCCTTTAAGGTCTATCGGCTTAAAAAAGCTGACAAAATATAAGAAATTTTTATAACTACACATAAGCCTATCATATAATAAATACAATTTTTGAAAAATGAAATTTAATTTATGTGTTCACAAGTGAGATAGTGTCAGCACTAATAAAGTATATGTTGAGACACCAAAACTATTTATAACACATACATATACTGTATATATATAGTATAAGATACAGTGTTTTATATAATGTTATAAAAAGAGAAGTTATATATGTATTTTGGTATAAAATTTCATATTTGGTAATATTAGATGCAAAATGTTGAGTCGCGGACTATTTTATGAGAGAATATTAGCACCTGTCCTACGATTACTGTTTCCCTTATAGTTATAATAGTATTTTTTTTGCTCTATTCATTTTTTATGAGAAAGACAACAATAATATATAGTATAATATATGACATGCTTTATATATATATATATATATATATATATACGATATATACTGCATCAGTTATATTATATATATATTTATATATAGAGAGTACAGTATACATATGTAGAAAATAAAGGACTTGAAATTAGCTAATCATAAATTCAATTTATTTCCGCTAAACATTACATTTATTGTTGAAAACAAAGATTACTCCTATTTTTTCAGGAGAAAAAATCATACAAAAAAAACTTTCTTTTTTTTGGTAAACTTAAAGACAATTTATGTTATATTTTTTTCTATATTTCTATGTTTTTTCTTATCTCTCTCTCATTGTTTAGTCTGATATCTGTCATCAAAGTGTCTACGAATTGGTTCACTCGGAAGATAGGGAAGAGCTTCAGAGGCATTTGATGTGGAACTCACACCTACCTAATGATCGATCGTCACTGACATTACAAGAAGTCCTATTACAAGGTATTAGACACAAACACATTGTGTCACATATCTATGTTTTTTTATAMCTGTAATCGCAAATAGTTTTGTTCATAAAAATTGTATTAATCTTTACTAATATTATTTTATTTTTATTTTTTGTCATTATTATTGCTGTTGTAGACAATTGCCAATTATTAGAAAGAAATTTTACGGTTAGATTCAGATGTTTATTGGATAATACATCGGGTTTTTTGGTAAGTTATTGCAGTATTTATTATTATTATTWTTGTTGCTAATTAATACAACAAAATTATGCATTAAATTAATGCATAATTTTTGTAGATTGTAGGGTCCATTGTGTTAGTTTTGTTTTATAAAAAGAAAATAAGTTTCAACAAAATATTTATCAATTTTATTAATAATACTGTATTAGTATTATTATTATCAAAACGTAATTTAATACAAAATAAACATTATACTTGTATACTGTAGTCTATATTTAATAGTTAATAATATGGGATATAATAAATTGAATAAAAAAAATTGTTTGCTATATATATAAGAGGGAAATATATATTTTAAAAGAATAGACAGACAATCTGTTCTCTCATTTATTTGGCGATCAATCGATAATTGGGAGGTAACCTACCTTTTATGATAAAAATTGAATGAAAACATATATATAAGGACAGGTAGATAAAGATAGAGAGCGACTGAAGAGAATGTTAGTATTAGTATTGTTTAATAAAGGAATCGGAAAATAATTTTTTATTGAGAGTATAACAATGCTATCAATATATATCTATATATAAGAAAATAATAATAATTTTGTTGTACTTTTTCTTTGATGACTAAACCTTTAAACGTCTCTATCAATGACATACACACGTAAAACATGCAGACATTCACAACACTGACAGTACTGTCTATTATTTATTTGTTCAAATGCTATGAATTCTTTGATTTGTTATTTTTTTGAAAAAATAAAAATAAATTAAAATTTATTTTCTAAAACTGTGCGAAAACTACTAATCATTTGGACGACTCATTCACTCTTTTTCTATTAACTTTTATCTCTTAATTAAACTTTTATTTTTTTAATTTAATAGATTTAATAAAGAGATATATTAGCAGATTTTTAGTATGTGTTAGCTCTCTCTCTCTCTCTCTCTCTTTCTTTCTCTCTCTCTCTCTCTCTCTCTCTCTCTCTCTCTCTCCTCTAAGATCTAACTGACTGCTGGATAGGAGTAAAGACTAAATTAGATTCACATATAATGTTTTAAGTCATATAAGAATTATCGCCCAGAAATGGGCGGATATTTTAGCAGAAATTTTTTCTTTTATATATAAATTTATATACGATATACCTATATGTATATAAATGRAAAATATATTATACTTAGATTATATAATGTGTATAAATGAGTTGTAATTGGCAATACCTGTAAATGATGGTATATTTAATAAAAATATCTATATATCTCAATGTATATTTAATATATTTGTGTTTTTATAATATTATAATTGTAATGCGGTTTTTTAAACTTATAAATCAATTTTATTGGCGTTAATTGAGAGGCTTAGGTAATGGCTGAGCATTTTATTACATAAGCATTTTCATAGTCATTATTATGATTGTATGGACTTTCTATTAAAAAAAAAAGAAATTTAGACTCATTAATATATTAGTTATATTGTGGATTATTATATTAGTTTGGTTTCATATATTATATGTTTTAATTAAAAGTTAGAATTTTAAATATAATTATTTGAAGACTTAGTCACGACTTCTTAAGTTGGACTCTCTCTCTCTCTCTCTCTCTCTCTCTCTCTCTCTCTCTCTCTCTCTCTCTCTCTCTCTCTCGTCTTAATTGATTGAACTAATAAAACATAATAATGCAAAACAAAAACAAAATTAGTTAATAATTTAATCACACATTTTATCTACTAATCTATGACTTCATTTATGAACCGATTTAGTCACTCCCATTATAATATTATAAAGAAGCTAATAGTAGACAATATTTTTTTAATGGCAAACATTTTAATTATTGGTAATAACTTTCTTAATGAAACCGATTTTGATTGCATTAAAATGATTGTCTTAAATATAAATTTATATATTATAAGTCATCAAAAGGGACGGGAAATTGTTTTTTATATATAAATTCACAAAAAACAAGATAAATGTTTTATAGAGAGAGGAAGTCACTGATAATTAAGTTATATTGAATATACAGTATGTTTTGTGGTTAAAAGCACTAAACCAAACCATTACACTCTTAGTACTCATTTATTTATTATTTTTTTGCAAAAAATAAAACAACCCTTTGTTTGCATAAATTTATAATAATTAATTAAAACATTTCTATGATTTATTAATTTAATTAGAGATTTTGTATTATTTTTTTCTATTAACATATAATTAAAGCCGCAGACATTAAAATAAAAATGAAATATATATATATACTATATATATACTGAATATATATATATATATTATAAAATGATAATTAATATTTAATGGCTTTTATCTCCTCCTTTAATTGAAATATCTTTTTCAGAGGTTAGACATAAGGGGTCGGATTAAAGTACTTCACGGTCAGAACCACAAGTCTGAAGAGCCACCGATGGCATTGTTTGCTGTTTGCACCCCATTTGGTCCGCCGTCTCTCCTGGAAATGCCTCAAAAGGATTCAATGTTCAAAAGCAAACACAAACTCGATCTCTCACTCGTCTCAATGGATCAAAGAGGCAGACAATTGCTCGGTTATAGTGATAGCGAATTGGCAAACAAGGGTGGCTACGATCTAGTCCATTACGATGACCTGGCTTATGTGGCCAGTGCTCATCAAGAGTGTCAGTATCTATAAATGGCTTATTAATAATTAATAAAAATATATACTGTATATACTGTATAATTAATATTATATTTTATGTTTGTTTGTTATGTTAAAAACAGTACTAAAAACAGGAGCTTCAGGTCTTATAGCGTACCGTTTAGTGACCAAAGAATCCAAGTGGCAGTGGTTGCAGACAAGCGCTCGATTAGTCTATAAAAATAGTAAACCAGACTTCATATTATGCACTCATAGGCCTCTCATGTAAGTTATCAGACAAACTAATCAATGAAACAAATAATAAATTATATATTTTTTTTTGTTTCGCCCAAATCATTACAGGGAAGAGGAGGGCAGAGATCTACTGGGAAAGCGTACGATGGACTTCAAAGTGACATATCTTGACGGAGGTTTGGGAGCCATGACTGATCGCTCCGGCTTTCTGTCGGACAGTGATTTTGTTATGCGATGCCAACGCAGTCGTCGATATAAATCTCAAATCAGAGATGTGGTGACAAATTGTAAGCCAACCGGCAAACGAAAACAACAGGCGACCAATGCTGACACACATACATATACAGCGTTTGAAGACAATTCGGGTGTCAATGCTGTGAATGTGGTCACACACGCAGCAGCGGTTACGGCTACAGCGGCCGGATATCAAAACTCAACAATGTATCCGTATAGTGACAATATGAACGGGTTGTCCACTTATGCTGCCGCCGCCGCAGCCGTTGCAATGCCGCAAAATTTGTTTAGCGCCGCTATTGACCACAATTCTCGTCCATTTCTTGCACCGGAAAACTTTTTGCATTACTCTCGTCACGCGTTAGGACCATATTATCCCGAATACCATCCCGCAGCTCAATACCCGACCAATGGTTTTCTCGATCACATGACCACCAGTCGAACGACACATTGTTTTCCCGGTGGTTATAACACAGACACTAATAGTTTAGTCAAAGAAAATAATGATAAGTTATACGGTTGCCAAATGACCAGTGACTCCAAGTTTCCGATGAATGAATCGGTAACAACTAATGGGCGAACAAAGACTTCCTGTTGCGACAGTTATATGTCAAGTGCCACAACACCGTGCAGTTTGATGACGACACCGACATCCATACAAGCTATTCATCAGCCATTATTAGCCGACACCAAAATTGCCGACATTCCCGCGCACCGTAACTTYGGCATCAATTCTGCTCCCAACGACTGTCTCTCTGTCATCAAACATAAGGCAAGTCTTCCAATATTGACAGCAAACTCCGTTTCACATCGYAATGATCACAATAATATCGATTCAATTGCAACCACCTCTCAATCGACAACATCCCAGTCCATACTATCAGCGTTCAGTACAGCAAACAATATAGACTCGCGACAGAGTGTCCTCATGTGGGGTACAAACCATAACTTTGCGCCRAGAAATAAGTACGGATTGGCTGCGAACGACATTAAGCCAAATGAACGAGTAGTCAGTTGTAAGTGGAACGGGAGTATCGCTAATCCCAAACCACTATCACCTCATCCATCTGTAGCACACAGTCCATCCAGCGCTAAGGTGCCAATGAGTATGCCTATCACTGGCTATAGCACACAGGCCTACATCACTCCCGACGTACCACCAATTGAGGTACGGCTTCAATATATATATATATATATTTATTTAAATCTGTTTGAATGACTTGTTTGATTGATTTATATATTTTCTCAAAATTTATAATATTATAAAAAATAATTATTTTTAATTTAGTACTTATTTTARTTTGATTGTATTGTATTTTATGATTTGGTTTGTATTGTAATTTTTGTCAATTTTTTTCATTACCCCACATGTTGTGACAATTAATTACAGGGATGGCAGGTCGAGACAATAGGCCACTGGCGACCCCATCTTCGTAAGTGATGACCGACTCATTTCACACCATTTAAACTGTTTGTCTCACACAACCTATACTACTAGTAGTCCATAGAGCTGTGCTATCCATTACTGGGCTGTCATTTATAGTCATTAACTTTCAATTTTCAACGGACACAATCTCTATAGTTATTATTAATACTGAAATTAGTAAAATTGCAAACATTATTAAATACTGGACAGCTTTACCATCATTAGACTACTCTACCATTACTACTATTACTAACCATCAACTAACTAATTGTCTGCCATCTCAAACAACTTTCACTCATTTGCATTAAATTTTTAAACATCAATTACTTTGCACATTGTTTTTTATTTAATATTATTATTATTATTATATACATAACACCATTTGCATGATTTGCATGCTTTACGTTAATTAAACTAATAGTAGAAAAAATTGTGAATAATTGGCAATTAATTACAATTAATGTCTTTTAATTATTTTCTTTTATCAATTATATATATATATAACTATAGCAACCCTTGGCTAAGCAGTTGGATTACTTTAGAGGCATAGCATTGATCGATGGCTGCAAAGAAATTAATCCATTGCTCACCATATCGGAGGTGACCAATACTTTACTGAATCAATGAAAATTAAATTACCCGTCATATCAAACAATGTTACCGACCATTGACCAGCTTTACATTACTTAATTTAATAATTAATTACAAKTATTCAACTTATATATATATATATATATATATTTATTGTATGTTTCATTAAATAATATAACAAATTGTGTATATTGTAATATGTACCCGATCATATCCATTAATTATCATTGTAAATTATATATATATAATAATTTAAATACCGGTTCCAAAGCTTTATTGATAATTATTGTCAATTGACCAAGATCATCACCATATTGAGCTAGACTGACTTTTCCAAATAACAAAAAACTAATTAAAATTAATTAATAATTATTTTAATGTATTATAATATATTGAATTAACAAATTCCAGTGGTAGTGTAATATTTTGGTGTTTAATAATGTAGTTACTTATGTGTTAACGTTAACTCATTTAATGAGATGATAGCGATAATTGAGATTATTTTTTATGAAAATAATAAATTATAATTAAATAGCAATACATTGTGTAATAATGTGGCAAAAACCATGTATTTGATTGACTGAAATCGATTTAATATTTTGTATATTATTTAGTTTATAATATACTTTTAGTATTTTTAATTAAATTAAACACCAAAAAATTGACGCCATTTACAAAACAGGGTTTCTTATACATATAATAATTTTAATTATAAAAAATATTATAAATAAATGTAAAATAATAATAATAATATTAAAGGACAGTGTCATTATTATGACAATTGTGATGATAATAACAATATAATTTAATAATTGTATTGATTTTATTGTATTTTTACATTCAAACCTTTTATTTAATTTATTTCTTATTTTAATAACAATTATATATTATAATAATTATTATTATATAATAAATAATATTAAATAATTAAGTCTTCATTGAAAACTGTTTTCAATATAAATAATAAAAAACAATAATAATGAGAAAAATGTGAATAAAATATATGTTGCAAATAAATCTTGTTTTTTATTTTATATTAGCAATTAAACTAATATATTTAGCTTTAATTATTGTTTATTTGAATTTATTACCTATGCTTATCAAACATAATGATTTTTATTAGTGTGTGTGTGTGTGTAAAAGCACCCGAAATTTATGCCTTAATTTTTACAGGCAATAAATTTAATAATAAATTAAGACATACCTGAGTCATATGGAGGACACCTATATGTTATATATGCTTAATGACAGGCAATGTTTTAAGCGTAATATTTGAAATTTAAAAAAATTAGGGTTAAAATGTTAATAAATATTTTAATTACTAATCTTTTTTTTGATAGCCAATCTCTAATATCTTGATTTAAATTTTATATAAATTAATTAATAATTTGACAAATAAATTTATATTTATATATATTAATATATTATATATCTATATCTATAAACAATTTTAAGACATTAAGCATCAAAACCCGAGGGTTGGATTACCTGTTGTTAAATCACGGTTTATTCCAACGATCGGACTTCAAAGCTAAATGCTTTGATACAGACATTAGTCGATAAAATTAATATATATTTAAAAAAAACAATAATTGTATTGAAATAATAGAGACATATGTGGCCGCAACCGGTCAAGAATCACAAGAGAGATAGATTCTTATAGAGACTGATTGATGGATCAGCCCTTTATAAGGCTCACTCTCTCCAGTGTTTCATTACCAGAGATTACTTTTTTAATGTCATTTTATGTCTACTATCTTATTATTATCATCACTCACCTCAAAGATGTTGTCCAATTCAATACAATTGATAATAAGCTAAACACGTTTACGGTTTGCTTTACAAGACACTCATTAACAAGTTTTTCAAAATATTATTTATAATGAACTAAACATTCACCCAAATGAACAAATTTTGCATCAAATTTATGCCGTTTTGTGGATACATATGTTAGTACAGATCATCCAATAAATGTTATTTTTATTAGTAATTATATTTATTACCGTATATACTATTTATGCATTTATTACACATTTGATTCAAGTGTTACTGAAATTTCCAGATCGAGACTATATAATTGCAAGTTTCTGTTAACGATTCAATAATACTATTTGTATTGAATATTATTTTTAAAAAAATATATTTCATGTGATAATAATCAAAATGTGAAACCAAAATAAAACATAAGTTAAATATTGTATATAAAAAATATAAATACTTTATACTATAGAAAATWTTAGAGTATAAATAATATACAATTACCGGTAATTGTAAAATTTATTAAACATTTCGTAATATGTTATGTAATTGCCATTTTGTACAAAACATTATATTTTTTAATAATTTATATAAAATTACAGTATAATTTACCCAGGGTAATAAAGCAATATATAGCTTTTAATAATATTGCAATATACTGTATACTGTATGTCTATAAAAATAATGTCAATTTTATAAAATTATTAATATTGTTTTAATAAAGTATCAAATGATGTAATTAAACTTTTTATTGACTAATTATCATAAACAAATCTCAACTGATAATGAATTAATTATATATAAAATTATAATTAATATACATTGATATAAAATAACAATTCATACAGTATGAGACATTTTTCAATAATTTTTGAGAGTTTAYGCAATATTTTTGCAGTGAAGTGATTTTAATTGCAACCCTCTATAAGTTTTGTACATCACTTTACTACTAAAAATACGGTAATAGCTATTAGAGTAAAGCTAATTAAGAAACAATTTAATAACAACTAAACATTGTTAAGCACTATACGGTCGTAAATTGTTTGACTTCATGGCCGCCGCCCTATTCTGAGCTCTTAGATCATCGTAAGTGGTATACGATTTGGACACATCGTCGCCCTTTCGATCTTCATCTTTGTTATAATCGGCAAACTCGTGAGCACCATAACCTTGAATGTCATTCGTGGGTTGATCCCAATAGGATGAATCAGTCCTTGTTTGATCGGTGGTCATCATATCGTCACCACCGGTTATATGCTTATCCATCGTTATATCATCTCTAATGATACCTCTGCGACGTCTCATAGCAGTGACAAAAGGCGAGTCGGAGTTTGAATTAATGAGACGATCTTCACAAACGCCTCGATAACTAAATTTACCCAAAAACCAACCAAAGAATGTGCCACTAATTATGTGCCATACTTTTGGTTTCATATTTTGACGACCGGCCACATAAAACATACCGACAACACAGGCCGCAGACAGTGGTAAACAACGCTTCCAAAAGCTTTCGCGATTACACTCACGAAGCAGTCGAAAGTCTTCGACACTTATGGCAGGTATTCCTTCGTTAGACCGATGAAATCGTTGGTTCGCAACGTTTTCCTGATGTTTATGATAAAGACTCGGCGTTTCATTCGTCTGATTGGATCCTCTTGTGGTCGACGGGTTGCGAGTGTTTCGGTCRTCATATTCATTGAAATTTTCTCGTCTGTCGCCGATATAAGACATTAATTATTTGACTTAAATTTTATCTTCTTTTTAAATAATTAAACAAACAGTAGAAATGATTAACAGATSAAAAACATGTGTCCATTAAATCTRTAAATAAAAACAAATAATATATTTAAATGCATATCATTTGTAACCAATTAACTGATCCATTGATGTCATGATTATTATCAATTGATTGCAATCAYTGGTTAATCTTAAAATTATGTTTAATGTCACTAAAAAACTTACCAAAAAACACATATAAAGACAATTCATGAGATATTGTCAATCAATAAGATCACTGTTTGGATCAATTAGTCGACCAATTGATGTCTTTAATTGTCATTTAATTTTATGTTTCATTTAATAAAAACATTAGTTTTTTGTCGATAAGTTGTAAACAAATTCACGTGACTTTGTATTCACTTATTATTATTATTAAGTAAATTATAAATATCTTTGAATAAGTTATAACAATATTAATACATAAATATTGTAAATATTATTACAATAGTAAATAACGTCTACTATTTCCATGTTCTCAATAAAACTGTTTAATTAATTTAACATAAATATAGTATAAAAACCCAATCATATAATAGTTATGTAATTTATTTTCAAAACATATTGTTTTGATTACAAAAATAGTGTGAAATACTACTAAAAGAGTAGATTTCAGTCAATGAATGACTCAATCATTGAATCAGTTTATGATTACAACAAAAACATAATATTTAATAAAACAATTGTTTTTGTGATAATTTGTTTCAACAATTGATCCGACAATTCAATCACTAATTTGTGTGTCTAGTCGTCGYTCAGTTGATCCAAACCTCACACTTGCCTTAATCGCTGTCACTTCCCATCAAAAATGAACTTTTTCGGCAAAAAACAAACGCCAGACGGTAAGTGAACCGTTGATGATATAATCGATGGTAACCATAGATGATATAGATTTTGATTGATTTGATTTAATTGATRTCTTTAGAGATAATCAGACAACAGAATCGTGAATTAAGAAGAGCTCAAAGAGATGTTGACAGAAGTCGTACGGATATTGAGAAACAGGAGAAACAATTGGAGATCCAAATCAAGAAAGCGGCCAAAGAAGGCAACAAACAGTTGTGTACAACACTCGCCAAACAATTGGTTCAATTAAGGAAATCCAAGACACGAACGGTTGCTGTCGGCGCCAATATCGGTGCTATTGGATCACAGACTAAGGTATTGATCCATCATTTTGAACAATATTTTTAATAAACATAATTGTTATCATATATTCAGGTGATTCAAGCAAACAATAAGATGGCTCAAGCAATGGCCACAACCACTAAGGTATTGATAATTAATTTTAAGTCTTAATGTTTACTTATTTTTCTTATTTTTTTTATCAGACTATGAGTCAAATGAACGCTCAACTAAAACCACAACAGATAATGAAGACTATGCAAGACTTTGAGAAAGAAAATCAAATGATGTCAATGAAGGAAGAGATGAGTCAGTTAATCATTTTTATATTATTATATAATTTTTCTAAAGATGTTGTGATTTAAATTTTCAGTTGAAGACACACTTAATGGTATATTAGATGAATCGGGAGATGAGGAAGAACAGGATGCTGTKGTGGCTAAGGTATTGGATGAGATCGGCATTGAGATCACCGGAAAGGTTAGTCAACAAAATTTATGCAAAATGAAAGTGCAATATACAGTATATATATATATTTATAACAAATAACAATCACTGTCCCACACCTATAGTTGGCTAACGCGCCGACGCCGTCCCGAGATTTGGCCTCAACTTCTAAAGTATCCGATAGTGAAATAGAGGCACAATTGGCTAAACTTAAGATGTAGTTATCATTAAATGATAACTTAAATAAAAATTTAGTACTAATATAATTGAGTTCATATTTAGTTTATATATATTTATATTTACAGTAGAAAGTCTTTAAATAATCACACGATATATTTTTTTTAATATTTATTATATTTTAATAATTCACTCAAATATCACAAAATGTATATAAATTTGTTATCAGTATTTGCTTTTTTCTTTCCGATAAGAGTTTCGAGAGTTTCAATTGAAATTATTATTGAATTGAATTGATTTCTCCTAAACTAAACCTAATTTATAAATATATTTTTTTTTAAATATAATTATCTTAATTATTATTAAAAAATTTTATATTAATAATTGTAACTAACAAAAATAAAACAAACAAATGTGAATAATATTGTTCTAACATTTTAAATATACAGTATATATATATATAATATATGGAATAATTTAATAACACTAGATTATGACTAGTAAATTGCATCAAAACATTTGAGTATATTTTTATAGATATAATTATCATAACATGTGCTAAAAGTTTTATGTGCTTTCAATATCTTAATCATTTAAGATTTAGTATTAATTCATTGAATAAAATATGAATTAATAAATATTAGGCTATTAATTATTACCGGGAATTATAATTAAATTTATTATCTATAACATGAGGATCTGACATCAGTTGACTTTCCAGATCTGATAGAAAACCCAGTCCTCCATAAATGAGGGCACATATGCCGAGTGACGGCTGAACTCAACTTTTACGGGAAGACTACGTAATAGTTGTTCGTATGTCTCGAGTGTTGATTTGCAACCGATTCCGATGGCCTGTCAATAATAGATACAAATTTTATATAAATATACATAAAATGTACATATAATGTATATATAATGTATATATAATGTATATATAATGTACATGGGTGTTTTTTATATCAATATACAGTATAACAAGTAAATTGCTTATAATTTAGTTGACTCTATTATGATATATGAAATTATATCAATTTTGTAGACATTACTTTAGTTAAAGAAAATAGATAATAATTATAACAAATTGATTTATTGTACATTTGAATAGGAATAATATTTTTTTATGTCTTTCATATTTATAAAAATATTATTTTAATTTTTAACATTTTTTAATGAAAAAAAACATTCTCTTTAGAATTCTTTATAATAAATTAAAAATGTAATCATAATTTGATTTTTTATTATAGATTATAACGAATTATTATTACTACTTGCAATCTATTAATAATGAGTAATTTTTAATTAATTTAAGTAAATGTATTATGAAAAAGTATTTAAAAACAAATAATGTGTATTTCATAACTTTCAATGGATTATCTCAAACATTAGATTTTTAAAAACATTTTGAAAACACTTTAAATAAATTTTTCAAAACCTTATTTAGAAATATAAATTTTGTTTCTATTCAAATAACTTTTCAATAGTTTATGAGTTATAAGCAAATTACTTTAGTTTGTATTTTTTTAAAAAACAACCCAATATACAGTATTTACTGTATATATAATTTATATAAATAAATAATTAAAATCAATTAAACTTACATGATTTAAATAAAAGCCGTCGGGTCTGACCAATTTGAGGGCCAAATTAAGTATACGTTTAAAGAATGTCCACAAATCTTCGTCACCGTCGAGACCGGCGTCTCTGTTGTCCTGAGCGCTGATTGGGATATCAGTCAAGTCATTGAAGACAAAATCAAACGAACGCTTTTCGCCGATATATTGTTCCATATATTTGAGACAATCGCCAACAATCACCTGATAGTTAGGACCATCAAAGTTGTCCAAAGTGTCACCACAGGCGCCCCTGAGATACTTCTTGCAGGCGTTAAGCACTACAGCGTCAATGTCGACCATAGTTACAAATTTGGGCTCTTCTTTAAGCAGTTCGTGAAGTAGTCCTCCGTCACCACCGCCGAGAATCAGTATCTCTTTATCTTTGTATGAGATCTCTCCGTATTTCATGAGACCTCTCGTGTATGACAAGTCTTTTTCTGCTAAATTCTGTAAGTCATCCAATAGAAGACAATTACCCAGCGATGGTGAGCCTAATATCTTGATGTGTTGGTACTGTGAATGCTCTTCAAATACCACACTATCGAAGTCATACTCCAGAAGTCTTTCGTCAGACGAGGTGTAATAGTTGGGCACAACTGTCCACTTCTTGATAGTGGGAATCCGCTCCACTTTCGGCACATTCAGTGCCGACACTAACTTTGATCGCAATTTCTCGGAATTTGAGTTATTCAACAAACTATGGGTTTTGCCGATAGTCTCGGAGTCGACACACTCTTCGCCATTGATGGACACCAGCTGTTGACTCTTGTAATGACGAACCGTAATCGTCAATCGATTATCATTAGCGCCATATATAAAGATAAGTCCATCAATGAGTTGGACACGACTGGCCAACGCTATACCGGGAAAATGATCGTCGAAAACAGTGGTCAGTACCGACTCATCCAACTCTTGATTCGGTAACAGTTTTAATGAAAATAAAGCACTTCTTACAGACATATCTTCTTCTGTATGTTTATATCACTAGTCTTTGACAAGAATGTTGTGTCCAAACAACAGGTCAGCGATGGTATCAATCAATGTTAAGACTSTGAACTCAATCAATGAATGCTCTGTCTGTGCAAACCATGTCTTATATATAGTAATCAATTCAATGATATCTCTATCGGTAGTCTTTGGCAACAGTCTTAACATTGGATTAAATGATTTGGTCTCTTATCACAAGTTTTTTATAATAATATTTTCTATAATTATTTGTTTGTTTTATTTGTATATATAATTAAATAACAAAATCTCTATATTATTGACACCAATGCCATCACTAATGTATAAAATGAGACAAATATTACACTAATAGATGTCACTAAATATTAACTATATGTTTAACATTCCCAATGAGGGAAGTTCTCTAATAAAATCCCTCAAATTTTCCCGAATAATATACAACATATTTTATTTTCTCTCCTTTTATCGTTAAAAAGGGAAAATATATCTTATATTATTAGAATAAATAATATAAAAACTTAAATATTTTGCAAAAAATATATTAAAATATTTAAAAATAGATTTTAATTTAATAAATTTAGTGATACTATTTATCAAACCCACTCAAAATACAGTTTAATATATTTGTTTTTTCAACCATTATAATAAAATATGTTGTTTAGGGTTCAATAAGTGGTTACACAAGGAAATAAATTCCCTAGGAATTCCCATAGAGTAGGGAACATAAGATACTTTTGGTATATAAAACGAGGGATGGAATTTGATCGCACCCTAGCTATAAGTAAGTTATAAATTAATAAGTAATTAAATTATTAATTATTATCTAATCTAATTGAACAATAATTATGATTATTTTAATATAAATACAATATAATTATTTTAATTAAATTGATTTATTTTGTTATATATTTATATATTTAAAATTTATATGCATTAATTGYTAATTAATTAATAATAATAATGTTTATTATATGTATACTAAATTACAGTACATTTACTATCATTTAGGACTCTGAGGTTATATTTCAAAATAATTTTACAAAAATAAATATTTTTATCTCAAAGTAAATAAATGTATCATTATCATTTTTTTTWAAATTTCAATAGTAATAAAACATTTTAAGGTTTAAAGTATAAAATAATAGGTATTTTAAACCGGATATATAGTGCTTAACAATTAAGATTTATTTTATTAAACAATATACAGTACTATTCATTAAAATACTGGCACTTAACTAAACGATTTCAATATAATGTACTCTAATTTAATTAATTGATTGATTTCTATTAATTATTAATTAGAGTACAACTAATATATTGTACTTAATTCACTAATTAACTACTACTTTATAATGTTAGATCACATGTGTGTATAATATATTGAAAGAGTCATTTTGATTGCAATAATTTTTCATACATTTTATACATTTCGAGAAAATTTAATTAAATTTCGAAATAAACTCTTATTTTTTATTCATTTAATTAACATTGAAAAACACGTGTATTTATGCTACTATTTAACTAATTAATAACAAAAAAACTTACAAAATAAATAGTTTATATCATATTGTATTTAGATTTCTAAATTTATATTAAAGTTAGATATGATATCTATGGATAAAAGATCAATTATATTCATTKCATTTCTTGCATTGACATTAATGTCAAGTGTGGGTCACTGCAAGAAAAATATAGACCCATTGGCCGCTTTCGCCAATCTGGCCGCAGGAGGTCTCGATAATCTGTCCGATTTGGGTAATATGGGGGGATTTGATACTTTGTTTCCCGATTCATCGGCACAGGCAGGTGTTGAACGGGTGTTTCGATACGCGACGACTGTCCGCGAATGGATTCAATGGTTTCGCTTAATTATTGTCAMATTTATTTCCTCAATATTCTCGGTGTTTGGTCCTAAAGATTCGGTACTGAAGTCGACCGAAATTGTTCTCTTGAAGACCTGGTTGGCCATCAAAGATGAAATGCCGCACTCGTTGTCCGCATTGATGACAAACGCCCAAAATTTAATTCAATTGATGGACTCAGTTGACGGCAAAAACTTTGTTATCTAATCATATAATTATTTTGTTTTATTTATTTTTTTTTTTGCTATTGACACACATCTACTAGTTTTTAGATCTGATATCTTAATTATAATTTTATACAGATTAATATGTTTACTATTAATTTTTTTTATCTAATTAACAATAATAATATTATGTAAARTAACTAATCTATAAATATGTATATTTTTAATATGCAAATAAAATTTTGATATTTATAATTGAAAATATTTTTTATTTTTAACTTTCTGTTGTTAAAMATTTACTGCTTTTTATTAATTGACAACAATTTTGGTTTCACTGGGAAATTAGAAATTTTAATTGTTATCAAACATAGTAGTATTAAAAACAGTATTGTAAAGCTATGACCTGTTTTTGATAACATAATTATAAGACATCTTTTCTACTAAATTTGTAATAATAATTATTATTATAAAAATTATTGATGTGAAACGACAATATAACAGCAATTTATTTAGTATTATATCTTATTTTCTGTACAATGGTATGTATGACTATTAGTTATAAATATATATATATTAGAAATTGTATCTATTGATTACATAACAGTTTGATTGGTAACTMTATTAAGGTGCAAACAATTGTATATTTCTAACAAAAAAATACTGTATATTATATAATAATAATTATAATCTTATTCATTGATTTAATAATGTTATTAATTGGTGGAAGCAATTGGTGGTACCAAACATCCCGTCACCAATATTAACAAAGCGTTACAATTATCCAATCATTTAATCTATTGAATAAAAATTTCATTTTTAAGTGATTTTATTCCCGACTTTTAAATTTATTATTATATATATTTTCGTAGACAAACAGTTTGGCCATAGTTTTAGCCAAATATCAATGTTTTTATTTTTTTAGTCACTAATATTAATACTATTTTTATAATGAAATTTGTAAGTTTTATTATTTTTTATATGATAAGTGATTACTGATTTAATAATTAATTATTATTTTTATTTTTTAAATATTAAGTTATTTTTATCAATTTTATGTCTTCATGTATCACAACTAATACTGTTTGTTAGCGTCAGTGCCGGAGATCGTGGGATGAGAACTCAATATCACGAACAGGTATTTAAAATATTAAATATTGATATCAATTGTTAATCACTTCAATATTACAAACAAATTGTATGACAGGGTATGGGTCATCCAAAAAGCTATAAGTTTGGTTATACCACTGGTGATCATAAAAATCCTCAATCTAGACATGAAGTCAGGTAATATAATTTGTGGTTATTATTGATAATTTTATATCATTTTTAAAATCAAGATAATGATAATATAATATAAATGTTGTTATTATTTGATTGTCAGTCACGGACCGGGACATGTCAAGGGCTCGTATTCTTATAAAGACCCAAAAGGACGACTTCATGTGAGTCATGTTTTCAATATATTTTTTAATTATATTATTTTTTAAAAAATATACTGTATTTGCAGTGAAATATGTGTATTATTTTGAATAAAATATATTATAAATTCATGATTTAACATTTTTTAAAAATATACTGTATAAAGTATATAAAAAATAAAATATTTTAAGTTAAGTTTAAATTATAAATTTTGTTTATTAACCTAATTARCATATTGCATAAATTTAATAATTTAGTTTATATGAAAAGTAAATTCATTTTTAAAAAATATRATAACTTTACCAAAGAATTTATAAAAGAATGTAACAAAAATTTTTATTGTTTATAATATTTATTTTTTAAAATTAATTTATTTTCACAATATTTACATAAAATATAAAGTATAACATTTTTATTGTTTTATTCATTATATGACAGGTTGTTCATTATGAGGCACATCCTAAATATGGATTTCGGGTCCACCACAACAAAGTATAATTAAAACACAAAATTTTTAGTAATTTATAAAAATGTAACAAAAATATTATTACAATTGTAAGTTGAAAATTATTTAAGTTTAAATTAAAATTGATTGCCAATTGTATAAGAAATTCTTTATTACATAATAAACAAACAAATATATTATTTTATTATAATAACAATTGTATTCAAATTTTTAATATAATGATAAATATTATTTTTATGTAAATSAATATTTATATGGTTTGCAATAAAACAAAAACATTTAATTTGTTTGTTTGACCAGTATTACTTTACTGACCATTTCAATTACAATACTAAATGATTGCAAATGTTGTTTTTTAAATAACTTTCTAATAATTAATTATAAATTTGACAGCTTAAAATTATTTAATATAAATTTAATATAAACAAAAGTAAATATTTTGTATTAAAAAATAAATAAATTACATTTTTGACAGTTTTTTAATAATAAATTTCAAAGCAATATCAAAATAATTTGTAAAAAAATCTTCATAATRTTCAATGATTTTTTCTACAAAAATTTATTTTTAAATATAGATACAGTAATATATAATTTTAGTCAATACAAAAATTGTTCAAATGTTAACAACATATTAGCAACAAGTAATGGGAAACTTTATTTTTTATACAGTTTAACCATATATTATATTTAAGTAAGTAATACAACCTTTTTATTACTTTTATTGTTATTTAATTGTTTAACATATGACACAAATTTCTGAGTCAAAGGACTGAATGAGAATTTCTGTTGCGATTCGTCATTGGAAAGGTCGACATCAATCTCTTCATCGATGGACTGGTCGTCATCCGGTTGGCGATCATCTGATGATAAACTTTTGTAAGGAGTGTGCGAATCGGTATTTCTATAGTTAGATGACGACAGAGGCTGTCGATGGTTATGTGTGTGCGGCAAATGGCTGTGACTGTGATGATGATGGCTGTGCTGATGGTGTTTGTGATTATAATTATGATTAGGCTGTCGATTATGACTGCTATCATAATCTGTGTTACGGTTGTTTGGCTGGTTATTATGATTATTATTATTATTATTATGTCTGTGKTTGTGGTTATTATGATGATAATCATGACGACTGTGTTGTCTGTTTCTTYTCTCGTTACCATTTGTTACCCCATCGTAATCGCTTTGGTCACCATTGGCTGCACCAGTGTTCCCATCATTACTGTTTGTGTCATCATTTGATGGCAATTGCTGTGCCTTTTGTTGATCAGTACTGTAGAGGTTGGCGTTCTTGTGGTACAGTTGTTCACTGTTCTCACAATACACGTTATACCACCACTCGCACACCAATGACTCTATCATATAATTATATAATCAATTGACATCATTATATAAATAATAATAATTATTAAAATTTAATAACATAACTATTTATATGAKATACATCTCATTTGTATAATTAATTTCATATTTTTAAATATAATTTAAATATTAATATAAATTTATAAACACTATTTATTTTTTATAAAAAAGAATAGATAATTTGCTTAAATTAAATTATAATGACTTCATTTAATAATCAATTATCTCCCATCAGTTCCTACTTATTATTATTAATGGGCGTCAATGAGGTTATTATAGTTATTGTATTGTAAAAATTATTTTAAATCTGATTATCTAATGATATATGTTTATAGCAATTAATAGGAAGTATTTATTATAAAATGTAAGACTTTTGTCTTTATGTGAAACAAAAATAATCATTGATAATAAGTTTAATTTAATAATATAGTCATTTAAAATAATTRTTTAATTAAAAAAAACTAAAATAATTGTTTTAATATTGAAAACTTATTTTCTTAATTATAATAAAATAATAGAAATTAAATAAATATATCAAATGTATATAAACTAATTATGCATGTCTATTATAATTTAATAAATATATAGAATATAAAAATATAACAACAATTTAAACAAATGTTAACATTTTGTTAAAAAGAGAGATTTTGAATTATACATTCTCTCTCTCTCTCTCTCTCTCTCTCTCTCTCTCTCTCTCTCTCTCTCTCTCTCTCTCTCTCTCTCTCTCTCTCTCTCTCTCTCTCTCTCTCTCTCTCTCTCTCTCTCTCTCTCTCTCTCTCTCTCTCTCTCTCTCTCTCTCTCTCTCTCTCTCTCTCTCTCTCTCTCYCTCTCTCTCTCTCTCTAATCCATTCAGTTACTCATTCATCCAACAAAAAAAACTTACATTTACTCACTTTATAAAATATATTAACATGCTAGATTTTACACTTTACAATTATATATACTGTATATTTATTTTAGTTTATAAATATAAATATAATTTTTATTTATACATTTGTAAATAATTATTATATTGTATATAATTATTGAATAAAAATGATTTATTACAAGTCAAATGATTATTGATATATTTAATACACAGTTTATACTGTATATGTTATCTTATCTAAACCAAACCGAAAATGATTTATAATGTTTTTATTGCTTTGATTGATTGGTTAATGAAAAGTAAACCATAAAACTACTGTACTATCATTAACTTGAAAGCAGTATTTATTATATAATTTATTTTGCGATAATTAGAGAAAAAATGGTATGATTTTGACTAAATATAGTCATAATGTATACAAAATAAATACAATAAACTCTCGTTCTCACACTATAAATATATTTAGACTTTAATGTCAATGTTAATATATATTTTGCACTAAAACTTTCAAAACATGTGAATCAAAGATTTAATCTATTTTTAAAAACTAATGATTTTTAAAAATAGTATTACTTAATAGTTAGGATTTTTTACACAAAACTATTAATTTTGTTTTTATATTATTAGTAAAATTARAATTATATTTATATATTTTTGTTATWTATTTACTTATTTAAATTATAATATACCGTATAATACAAATGTGCTCTTAATTATTATTTTTTTAATTACATAAGTTTTCAATTATTTCTTTTAAAGAAATGATTATTAAAAAGTAGTTTAAAATCTTAAGCGTTAACTAATAATTTAAATCTAATAAATACATTTATACAATATACATTTATATCTGTATTGAATAAATATATTAAATAAATTAAAACATTCAATCTATGTTTTATAAATTAAATAATTTACATAATCATACTAATGTAATATATAATTGTTTTTTAATTAAGCCATTTTTAACAATATTTATATAAGCTAAAGTGTAAAAATTTGTTTCCCTAAAATCTTGTCACCTATCATATTAAATAATAAATATATAAATAATTATTGTCTATTTGTGTTTTATAAATTAGAAATTAGTACATTATTTATTTGCACAAATATTATCTTTATTAATTTAAATTGTAAAAAAATTATTTTAATATTTGATTACCAATGTATTATAACTATTATTAATAAAGTCTTATATTATTTTTAATCTTAAAATACTCTATTACTATGTATTGTATAACTCACACAACAATAACTCATACAACTATAATTCAGTCTACATTATTACATAACATATATTTTAATATTCATCTATTTAAATGACAATTATATATTATAATATTGTATATAATAATTGTTTCATTTTAATAATTGTTTCATAGTTAGTTATTAGTTATTTAAATTTAATGACTAAAAATATATTTTATTTATTTTATTTTTATAAGGAAGAAATATAAAACAGATATTATATATAAATATATTACATAAATACTGAATTCAACTTTAATAATACACTAAAAACTATGATAAATACTGGATTACATAAAATCCGAAACTTAATTGATATTAAAATACATAATAATAGCGGTATAACCTTAAAAATACAACATTATAATACATACCCTGACTATATAGTGTGCCATTAGGACATAGAAACCTTTGTTGGCCCTGTGRTGAGCATTGATGGTATACCTGTGCGTTAAAAACAAAATTATAGTAAACTTTATATTAGAAGTAAATTAATMATTTTATAAAATGAACAAAACAAAGACATGACATATTAATACATAAATAGTTGGATTAAAGTTATTTATAATAATAATATAWWAATATATAAATAGTTAACATTGAATTGATTATTAATGTTAATCTAAAATATATTCAATACCTGACACTTTTGACTGACATCTGCATAGAAACCGTGTGGACGACCGGCACATGAAAACTCTGACCTCATTGGCACCGACGACATCATTGGATAATCCTTTCCCGGATCTCCCGGTATACCATTGGAAGACCATTCATTTTCTTGGTTGTTATCATCACTTTTATGTCCATCACTGGCCTGAAGAGCAGCCATTTGTGGTCTGTCATCAATTGAAGAGTCGTGAACCGGGTTTTTGTTTGATCCTTCATTAGAATATCCATTTGATTCATCATTAGAGTAACAGTTTTGACATTTTGTTTCCTCATTATTATCGTAATCGTAGTCATCGTCAGACTTTGGTTGTACTCTTTGGTTGGCATAAGACTGTTGCGAATTAAATGAATTTTTCTCATTATGTCTGAAAGGCTTTTGTGAATACGAATAGTCATTTGATTTCAGACTTCTTGTATTATAATTTTTTCGGTTTGTGTTTTGAWATCGTCGGTCGACGTCATTAAGTGGTTCGTCAAAAACTTTTCCTTTTGGAATGACCTCACGGCTGTCCAGTTGGACAGTCATAGAGGCACCCACTTGTTTGGCACCCGAATCATCCAATGTATTCATTACAATCTCGGCGTCCGGTTTGGGTCGCGGGGTCTGATTAAAGCCCTCAAACGGGTGGACACGTGATGTAGACTTTGGTGGTCCAGATATATCGGCAATTTGTAAAAGTGTTTGTTTTGGGGCTAAAATATTTTGAATAAAACCCGAACCGCCACTCGAACSGGGCTTTTCATTGTTTAGATTCTTAGGCGCCTCAATCTGATAGAGCGCCGGCTTTTTAAATCTGGGATCAGAACTACTTATAATTTTTTCCTTAATATAATATGGCTTAGATTTGCTGTATTTGTTGGGAACCGATAGGTATTTATAATTTTGGGGACTTTTCTTATTTTGTTTATAAGACTTGTCGTCGTAGTCGTAGTCATCGTCACTCATCAAACCAATGCTGACATCAGATTCACTGTCTTTTGTTTTTGTCGTCTCAAATAATGACTGACTTTTGTCTAACACTGACTTTTGCGGAACTGTTGGTCTAAAAGTGTTTGTATTCTTATAATTAAATACTGGTTTTAAATCGAAATGATTTCTTTCATATGACAAATGTTTTTTCATATCCATATTTGTTTGCGGTTTCGGTCTGATTATTGCTTTATTATTATTATATGTATTATATTTGGACATCGGGTAAGACATGGATTTCTTATAGCTATGTTTGGTCGACTGACCCTTTTTAGCTGACGGTCCATTAGTTGAATACTTTTTCCATTTAATCGGTGGTTCCACTTTATAATCCCTGTGCACATACTTAGATGTTGGCCTATCTCCAAAATATTTCAATTGTTGTCTATTGACCGGTATTTTATGATATTGATTGCCATTGAAAGCCACATGAAATGTATTGCTTGCAAATGGATTTAAGTCATGGGACGCCGTAAACAATGGTGGAGAGTATGGATTAATAATAATGGGACCTGTCTTTTGGTTTGCAATTAATTTTTAAACAATAAAATCAGTTAAATTTTGATTGAAATTTATTACTTATAAATTGTTATATATTTATATAAATGTGTGGTTTTTTAATCTAAATAGTGTGTTATTTAGTGTACAATCATTGAGGTCATCAATGAACTGTAATTATCGTGTAATCTTCAATAAATGATATGATATTAACTGTGTATTACTTATAAAAATTTTTAAAAATGCACAGTTAATGATTTGGTTAAATGATATCAAAATGAGTATATTTACCTGAAATGGTAGATTTGCCTGTACTAGAGATAACAGTGCGATACAGCCTTTTTCACGGGAGGTGTGGAAAGTTGTTTTTAAGTTTTTTTTGTGAAAAAAATAAATGAAGAGAGAAAATGAATAATTTATTAATTGCTTTGAACTATTTTTTTCAATTGAAAACTAAGTTAATTTATTATTAGCAATGCTTTCAAATTGTTTTAAGTAATTAAGCTAAAAAAAAGTTATTTTTAAATATTTTGCCAAAAATTTTTAATAATGCACAAGGATTTTATAAAATTAATTTTTTTATTTAATTATAATATCAGTTAAAAAAAATATTGATTTATTYCTTATTAATTACAACATTATTTTAGCATTATTTTAGTATTAGTTTAAGGGAGGTTTCAATCTGAGAAACAATCAAATTTCAAATTTAAAAACAATTTATTTGTTGTAATTATTGATATGCTTTTYAAAAGACTATTATTACTGATTATTTATAAATTCAAAACACATACAAAAAAAACAACTTTTCTTGTTTTTGTTTAAAATAATTAAGAATATCTTAGATTAAAATCTATTAAAGACACACAAAAAATAGTTATAAATATATTTGTGTCTCTGATTTTATGGTTGTCTCATATAATTCATAGTACCGGTAAATGATTTTATTTAAATAAATTAAAATAAATATTTTATTACAAAAATAAAATCATTATTTTTTATAAATTCAATGAAACAATATTTGAAATAATTTTTTATTCATTATCAATGTTAATATAAAGCAAATGAGAAAATCGTGTTTAATTTTTTTCTAAAATTATTATTTATATATAATTTTAATTTAAAACTAACTAATATTTGGTTTTATAATTTTTATAATAATAATAAAAAAAACTTAATGTACATTTATAAAATAGTTAACATAAATCATCTTATTTCAAAATACTATAATTAAATATAATTCAATCAAAAATATTAAAAATAAAAAAATATTATTTATCAAACTTACCAATAATTAATGGAAAATATGTGACATCCATTATAAATGTAAATAATTATATAAAAGTTATTGGCTGTTAATAATAAAATTAATTAAAACCTTTATAATTTTTATCTTTAATTTAATCAAAATTAAAGCAATTATATCACTTTATAATTTATTAAGATTTATCATATAATTAGAAAAAATAAGAAAAATTTATTGAATAAAAGTCATGCTTTTAGTCGACGACACCAACTATTAATATGAGTGACAAAATCACTTCATTATATCAATCAATAGTATCAATACTTGAGAAATGAAAACTTAAATAATAAAACTTTTTTCTCAAACTATTTTTCACTGTCAGACTCAATGGAGTTATATTGACTTTTGATAGGTTTAATAATATTGTTTGGTTAGTTAGTTAGTAATAAATAATTATAATAAATATGAATGTCTATATTGGTTAAGAAAAGTTGTTTTATATATTACATACACAACAATAGATTTGAAGCTAAAAACAGTGTTTTGTTTGGCCAATAGTGAGATCTAAACCAACGCCTCACTGGGTCTATGAATTCATTGCAAGAATTTGGGTTAACATTTGTGTCGACAATATATTTCTATATATACAGTATATAAAGTTTATATTTGTTATATATGTGTTATATATCTATATATACTGTTAATATAAGATTATACGGAAAGAAGTAGCGATGCAGTGGTGCTCATCCACCCATACCCTCAGTTAAGAGTACGGTATAAACACCATAAACACACATTTATCGCTTATATACAGTRCTTATATACAGTATAAAAGTTAGTTCACTGTATTATATAACTTATATACAAGTTTGACTATTTTTCGGCTCTTTTTTTAAGTAACCACTCGTTTGTTTACTTTAAATATATATACGAGAACTGGATTTATATAACAACATATATTATAAATAAATATAATATTATATTATTAAAAGATATATTTTCTATTGTTTTTAAGAAAAAAAAAYAAATTGTTATTATAATTACACTCAACAACAACAAAACATAAGCCTTTCATTTTGCTTTTAAAACTAATTTTTTACTTTAAAAAACTGTTTGTTCACAAATCACTTTTCAATTTGTTAACAAAATTCAGATCAATGTATTATATATGTCGAGTAATTCAAGTTCGAGAAAAATAGTAATAATAATAATAATATTATTATTATTAACTTAATTGTTATTACCAAATGAAGATTATGTTTTGCGATAATAATAATAATTTGTTTTTTGTTTCGTTTTAAAATAAGAGATTCCCTTATATTTTAAAAAAGATTTGTTTTCCAACAAATAGGTTATTATATTTATGGTTTGAACAAAGTTTTTATGTAACTCACACATAAATATATATATATATATATATACTTTAGTACTGTATAATGCTTAATATTGATAGATATATATATACTGTATATATATTTATATATACTGTATTTAGCACATCTCCAGTCATTTAAAATATAATTTAAAAAAGTTTATTTCACTTTTCATTACTTTTTTGCTATTAATTTCCAAAAGAGTAGACAATTTTCAAAAATAATTTTTTATGAAAACAAAATTCACTTTTGGCAGCTATTGTGTTGATTATATAATTTATTGTTAAAGACCGGTATATATTGTATTTTTTATAAAACGTAAGCTTAAATAAAGACATTTTAATTTGAAGTACCTATTGAACGCATTATATTATTTTTTAATCCAGAAATTAAAATCATTTTATAATTTAATTTAATTTTTTTTTCTGTAAAACTAATATAAAAACAACATAATGTAATTATAAAATTATATGTTTATTTTGTTGATTATATATAAAAATTAATATTAAATTTATTTTTATATAATTTAATTAAAAAAATGTTTAATAATTTTATTTAAGTTCAGAGAACTCTAATTAAACAAAACAAAAAAATTTAAAAATTGAACAAAAAAGATATTAAAATTTTATAGTAAATAAATATATATATATATATATCATTATAAGACTCTCATATATAATTATAAGATTTAATTTTAAAATAAAAGGATTGGTTTGTTTTTTATTATTTTATTATTAAAGTTTACATAATTATATTGTAGTTGCTTGTATTATATCAATATAAAATATAAATATATTTATATATATTTGTAATTACTGTATAACAGTTAGGATGCTGTTATATTAAATAAGCTTATTATAAAATATTTATTACTGATTAATCTAAAATATAATCTTTTAAATACTATATTTATTGAATTTTATAATAATAATAATAGTAATAATAATATATGTAAAATAATTTAAATAGTTAATAGTCAATATAAATGTTTTCATTAATAAATAATTTAAATATTTATATATAAATAAGTATTTTGATTTTAAAGTAATATAAATTTTTTATGTTTATAAGTTATAACATTGAATGATAATTTTTATGCATATTTATTTAAAAATCATTATTCAATTTAAAAGGTGCAGTATAATTTATATGAATATAAAATTAAAAAACAGTATTTTCATTAAAATGATTAATTAATTATTTATTTTCTTATTTTATAGAATTTGTTTATAAAGTATTTAATGTTTAAATTCAAATAAATAAATAAATTGTATCATTTTCTGAGTGCTATTAAAAWTTTTTATATTGTTAATTTCATAAGCATTAATTATCCTATGTCTTAATACTTTATGTAATTAATTTTTAATATACAGATTATTGTTATTACTTATATAAAGTTATTTTCTTAAAAAATATATAACTTAAATTTAATTTATTAAAATCACTAAATTTATTAAAACGTACAAATATGATTTAAATACTATACATAATTGATAGACATATTTGATTGACAGAAAATATATTAAACATTAAATAAATGCAGTATATAAATTATTTAATTATAATTATATTATAAACTATAATAAATAGTTGTCTGAACTCAATATTAAAAAATTTATAACACAGTTATTTCAATTATATCAATTCATATCTTATAATTGTGTGCTTATCACTTGTTAACAAGTTTTAGGGACAAAAAATAGTTTACAGTGAACTCTATAGTAATAAATATGCACTTTTAATATGCATTTAATACTATATATACTGTATAATTAAATTAATAATTATAACAAAATAAAAATTTTAATAATAAATGTTAAAAATTAATAATAATTTGTTTAATTAAAATCATATTTGTTTACGCACACATAGAATTATATTAATTTATAAAAAATAAATAAATTAATAATTAAATAGTTAATCTATTAATAATTGTTACAAATTTCTTAAATTTTTATAACAAAAATATTTTAACTTTATTTTAATAATAAACTAATTTACATTTAAAAAAGGATAACATAAAATTTTATAAATATTTAATAAAAATAATACATCTGATTTATTAAATTACTAGAAAAATATATGTGGGTTTTTATAGTTATAAATATCAAATTTAAAACAATTTAAGCTTTATTTCTATGAAATCAATAAATTGATTAAAAAGATTATAGCATTATATTTTTTTACATTAAATAACAAACCTTTATTAAAATATAAATTTTGTTTTTATTTTTTATCACATTTTATTGTTAACACCATTATTTTATTAACAATTCTTACTAAACTTTATTTAAATATTAACAAAATGATAATCAATTAATTTAGTTTAATATTAACCTTCATTTTTTATGAAAACAAAATATTTTTAAATTTAGGTAATAAAATACAATGAATTTTATAATAAATTTGTAATAAAATAAAACTTTTTTTTCAAAATAAAATTAACATAAAAACTTAGTGACAAAACCAACAAACTATAATTTACCTAATTTTACATTTAAATGAGATATCGAAAAAATAACTAATTTCATACCTAAAAATAAAAAAATAAAATAAAAAACAATTTTGATTAAATTATATAACTAAATAATGTAATTATGAAAGTTTATAGAATTAAGAATAATTGTATACTAAAATATTTCTCATAAATTAAAATATTGATTAAAATATAACAATAAATTGATATTTTAAAAGGAAAAATTATTCAAATATTTAAATCAATTATGATATGCATAACAGACACAATACATTTGAAAACGAAAACAAAAAATATACATATAAAATAATTCATTAATTATAATATATATAATAAATGAGATAATTATGATAAAATTAACAAAATAAAATTATATAAATGTCGCAATACAATGCAGTATAGATTTAATTAGCCGCATATTTTCAATTAATAACAAAAAAAATATGTTTAACATAAACAGTATATTAATACTGAAATAATAATTAAATCAAATTATAAAAATAATGTCAATTTTATATAAATTTATGCGATCGCTTGGCTTTAGCTTTTGCTCTGAGATTCAATTTTTCACGGATTGAGTCCAACTCGGAGTCCTCTTTATCGGTCAATTTCACCAGTTTTGGACAGTCATAGTTATACCTAATCAAACACACATATATATAAACAATTGTTAAATAACTTATTTTTTAATATTATTTATATTATATCGTAAAATAGAAAAAAGAAAGAAATCTAATTATTTTTCATTTATTTTGATTACAAAATACAATAGCTATATAACAAATTAGAAAAAGTCAATTTTAATAATGCAATCATATCATTGCATTTGAATAAATAAATTGTTATCAAAAAAACAAAGATATAATATATAAACACTTTTTCCCATAAAAATAATTTTCTTATTTTTATAAATAATTTTATTCAATATATTAATTAAATTTTACTTTTGCTTAGTTTTATTTATTATTATTTTTTGTTTTTTGAATTTAAAAAACAATAAAACAAAAACTAACAGTTAAATCAATTTTATGGGTGCGTTTACATCAAAGAAATAAAACGAGATTATGAAATGAAACAAATTATGAGAGCACCGGTATGTTTTTTTGTGCCCACTATACATACCACCAATCACATATGCCATTCTTCTCATTAAATATGGTACCATTTGGACACAAAAATGAATGTTTGTATTTGTTTTGGCAGATATGCCACACCTGACAGCCGGTCTCTAAATCGGCGTAAACACCATTATTTAAGTCTTTGCAATCAAAGTTAGTCTTTGGCACCGAATCCAGTGTCGGAAAGTCTTTTCCGGCCACTCCTCGGCGCTTATCTTTTGATAACTTGTTTACGGAGGGCTTTGATATTGAGTCAGACGTTTGCAACGACTGAATACTCTTGCGTTTTGTGATAACAGCGCGACGTCTGCTATCACTTGTCTCGATGTCGTCCTTCTTGTCGGGCGTCCGCTCGTCGATTGCATTACGATATGAACCAAACTTTAAAAAAAATTAAAAATTTCTAAATAATAAAACTTAATAATAAAAAAACTAAATCATATACTCTTCTAATTTTATTAATAGCAGATTTTGCAGTCTTTTCTCTGATTTTATCGGATTTGGACGAAAATCGCGATTCGCGTCGTTCAACAACAGGTGCTTCGGTAGATGTGATGCGATTGAGTGACGGTCGCGGCACAAAACCGTCCAAACTATACATCGCTGGTCTCAAACTCTTAGGCAATAACAGCTTCGGTATGCGTTTGCTTGTTATATTGGTTTCGGTTATCGTTCCGTATAGTATTTGGCCATTGATTCGGCTTTTGGATGCAATTCTTTTGGGTACAAATATAGCCAAAGATGGCGTGAAATCAGACGATTGCAGATCAAAGATATCAGTCTATAAAAAGTTTAAAAAATACTTTAGATTTTTATGATAGGACACCAAAACTAACTGTTGAATGACCTGATTATTATTAGTATTATTATTATTATTATTGGAAAGTCGTTTTCTTTTAACTTTCCTAACTTTGCGTATTGATGTCGACGCCGTTGCCATTGTTGGCAATGTTGTTGCTGTTGTGTTAGTCAATGGTGTGGCCGCTATTTGCCGGGTTTGTAGAGCAGATGCATATCCAATACGGCTCTTGGATTGATCCACTTTTTCTGTGGCATTGCTTTTCTTAAGCTTTGGTGGGCGTATAGGAAATCGTTGATCCCTTTCCTTAGACCAACGGAACAGTTTTAGACCCTTTTCGCTGACAAACGACTTCTTGTGAACACCTTTATTGTTAAGGCTTTCATCGGACTTGTCTTAAAAGATAATATTAATATAAAAAAAAGTTTTTTATTTGTATATAAAAAAATCTTTTAGTTAACACTATCTTATCAAAACTAGAGTATAATATGCTTTAATAAGTTATAAAAGGGTATTTTATAGGATTTTTTATTTTTTATTATTATTTAAATAGAAGTTTTTATGTGGTTTTTTAATCTGTTTTCTAGATCTTTAAATAAATTCATTTATAAAAAAAAACATAAAAAAGWTTATTTAAAAAAATTTCAATAACAAAACACAACAAAATATTTGAACAAATTTCTTGAAATGTATTTTTATAACAGTATTGTTACTTTAAATAAACAATAAAATTGCTATAATATAACTAAATTTATTATTTATTGTGACATTTTACAAGCTATTAAATTAACTATTGAACATATATTGTTAGCTAAAATACGTGTACACAACACAAATAACAAATATAACAACCAATAATAATATACAAAAAAAAATCCTCAAAACAGACAAACAATTTATAACAATTTAAATAAGTTTTTCCCGAAATTTTTATCTTTTTTTGCATTCCGTTTAAGAGTTAATAAAAAATAGTATACAAAGTTTTGTTATGAATTAATCGGATTTTATTTTACTTGAAAATTACTTTAGTTGTTAAAGAAAAAAAAGTGATATCAAAAATGTAAATCATTTTGATGTAAATCAATCCAGTTTTTTGTTGAAAAAATATATATTTCACTCATGAAATATTTTTTTTAACTGATAATAATCATAGAGTTCAACATACATTAGAAAAATATGCAATATTCAAGTAAAATACAGTTATATAATCACAAAAAAGTAGAGTTGGTTGTGAATCAATCAAAAAATTGTTTTGAAAATTTTATATTTCAAGTAAAAACGATAGGAAAAAAATTTATCATATATTACTGTATTAAATATGAGGCACAACCTCCTGATTGCACAGTCAGGACTACTTTTGTCAACTATTTTGATTGATTGAAATCATGTTAATATCTAATACAATATAATTTATAAATTAAAATGTTTATTTCATTCAATACAGTTAGCCCAATGTGTCAGATCACTGCCCCGATTATTATTTACGGTTATTATACTCTATACATAAATATACAGTATATATAAAACACACAACAATCATAGATAATTATTATTTAAAATTATTGTATTATATTTATTATATTTTAAAAAGCTATTTAAATTGATGTTTTATATRTATTTTTATATAATTTTGTTACTGTTTTTATGCGATATTTCATAAACAATATAAAAAATGAAAATCATAATTATTAAAAGCTAATTTATCATTTTTGTTAATAAATTACTAGTTGGTTGTAAAAAATAAGTAATAAATAAAAGTGAAAGAAAGCAAAAAAAAATAATAATCGAAAGTTAAATAATTAATTATAAAATAATTGTGTAAAAAATAATAATATAAAATATACAAAATAATATTTTTGTCTAAATAACTATATAATACTTAAACAAACATTTTTATTACAAACAATTGCAATTTCTCAATGATTTAATATAAATGCTTATTAAAGACATTAAATTTAATTATAGCTCTTAATTTCATTGATTAAAATAATATTATATTAATGAATGACATGCGATCATCACTTTTCAACAAATAGTAAAACTAAAAATATTATCCATTATTATTATCAAACGTTTTTCTTATTAAACAATTTTACTTTTGCTTAAAATATTACTCTTTAAAAAACAAAAAATAAATAAAATCGGAAAATATTCTTTTAATTTAAATTCAAATACAATATATTCATGACTTTAAAAATCAAAAAATAAAAATATATTAGCTTTAAGTTATAATTGTAATTACTTTTAAGTTTATTATAATAATAAAACAATTCACAAATTATAACCTTCACTTTAATAATTTATATGACATCACAAATGTTTTATTTTCATATATCATAATAAATTTAATTGATTATAATATGTGATACTTTATCTTTGATTATGATTATTATTATTCAAGTCTACACTTTAGCTCTAACGGGTGGGTCATTAGGTCAACGTTGTCCACAATTACAACGGTCACGAAATGGCAATAAATGATTTTAAATTTAGCAATCATTACATTACAATTGTTATGTAAATTACTGAAAAATTTTTATACAGTATATCATATTAGACATTAAATCGACATTTAATTGGTATATAATTTTTTACTCTCATTTATTGGTTAATCCAGCAATTGTTTTAGTTTTTTACTAAACAATAACAACATTAAGTTAACAGTGATTACAATCGACAATGACTTTTATGGAAATATTTGATTAAAAACAGTAATTTTTTGATTAGATTTTTTGCTATTTTATTAAATAAACAACTTTTTACTAAATAGTTTTGACTATAAAATCATGATTACAGTATAACTTTAGATTTTATTTTTTGAAAAATTGTTTTATTGATAAATATCCAAAAAAATCATTTTTAGGAGATTAGTCAAAAAATTGATAGATTATTATAGCAGGACTGTGTGAAAGTTAAAACACTTGAGGAAAGTCAAACAAAACAATTTTTTGAAGTAGTTTTTTTGCTGATATAATAAATAAATAACACATTTTTAATTGTAAAATAACACATATATTTGCATAGATTATCAGTTTAGGGGAGCTTTGATTTAAGTATTGATTTAATGTGATTTTTTCAGCAAATTAATAACAGATTAAAACAATAACAAAACAAATACCATATTTATTATTGCATTATAATATAAATACACACTTGAATTAGTGCACCTCATTGTCGATTTCAAAGATTATTTCCAATAATTATTATAATTGCCGTATTATTGTAACCCTAAGACAACATTTTGGCAGTAATTTGTTTTTTTTATCAATAAAATTTGTTTGCATGCATTTAATTGTAAATAAATTGTAAAACTAATAGATTATGTAGTTTTGATTGTATGATATTTTTTAGAAGTTATTACTAATAATTTATTACAAAAGGATTGATTTGTAAATAATTTCATTATTTGACATATAAATTGTTTGTATATTTGCTATAATTTTTATGCCTGCAAAATATTGTAGTAATAATTAATTAAAAATATATTTAAAATTAACAAAAAAAATAATTTCTTAAAAATAAATTTAATTATAATTTTTATTTAATAAAAACTGCTACAAATATCAAGTTGTAAGTTATTTATGTGATATTTATTATAAATTTAGATATTATTTCTAAATTGAAGTAAATATTAAAACACTTAATTTTGATACATTGATAACTTGTTTGATTTATGTTTCAATAATTTTAGACTAATCGACTAAAAATTATTTTAAGTAACATTTTAATAGCAAATTTTTAATACCTAAAGGCTAATAGGGGTTCAAATTATAGCACATATTTTAATTGATGTTTTTATATAAGTCTTAGTATTGCATAGAAACCATGAGATTGTGTGCAAACATTTAAAAAAAAGATATTGTTATAATTATTTATAGATATAATATATTACAATAATAACTTTTAAATAAATTTATATAAAACAATAATACTCTTATAACAGAGTAAACAATAACAACCAATTACTCAATAAAAGTGTGGTAAATATTTATCTTTAAAGCAAAAAAAATATGTTTAAATAACATTAAAACAAAAATATTAATTAAAAATCAATAGTTTGATAAGCAATCAACAAATATTGTAAATAATAAAAATTTATAGTATTAATAAAAACTATAGTATCTAAATAATTGTTTTTTATTTTAATTTTAACCAAAAATATTTGGGACTTTTATAAAAAAAATCATGCTTTTAGAAAAAATTACAACATTTCTTGTTTATAAATAATCATTTATTTATTTAATTATTAATATAACATTATTTTTAACTTATATTATTTGAAAATTAAATTAGACTTATAATTAGATACTAATATTAGCTGTCAAAAATCAAGAAATCAGTTTAATATAAAAAACATTTACTTAGTTATTGATATTTTTTGCATATTATATGTAGAAATTTACTAATTTTATATTTAATTTGCATTAATTTTTATGTCTATATTCAGGTCAGAGTCAGTTTCCCTAACAATAATTATTATCAAAAATATTAAAAATTATAGTTTGAGAAAAAATATTACTTTATGTATTAATTTAATTAAAGAGAAAAAGCTTTAAATAATTTTTTTTAAATAAAAACTTGTCATACAATTTAAACATTAAATACTTACCTAAAGACTGTGATAATGTAATCGTAGCAAATGTTGCAATTAATACAACAATTATTAAATGACAATAAAATTTAATACTAAATCCCATCGTATTGTTTCAATTGATGCCATAAAAGCAATTGATTTTCTTATGTAGAATTAAATTATAAAACACTTTATAATTATTATCAATCAAAAGATGATTATTATTATTATAGTTATTATAAAACAAATATTTAACTCATTATTCTCATCACTTCACAGTAATTCACTCTCACATCAATTGCTTGATTATTGCATTATTTTAAGCGACTTATAGCTCACAAATAAGATGCTATTTTTAAGCGATCACATCACTACATATTTAATAACAATCTCCACCTATAAATTAAATTCAAGTGAATCCCTGATATTTCGTGAGTCAGCGGCACAGGTAGTATCGTCTCTCTCTTTCTCTCTCCACTGTTGAGAAGGAGTGGTAGTATTGTCTTCAAATGAGATTCAGTATTGAAGTCACGTTCACTTTTGTTTGAATATATCTTATAATATTTAAAAAAATCAAAATGATTATTATTGCCTTAATAAATATAACCAATTAACTATTATTATAAAATTATTTTTTTTCAATATATATAGATAATAGTCGGCTATGTTTTCTTGTTGTTGTTGTTATTGTCAAAGTTGTTGTTGTTGTTGACTATAATTGTAGTTTTCACCTGTTGTTTCCTTTTCAACAACAGCAGTGTGTATACCTTTTTAACATAACAGCTCACTGAGCACTTGTAGCTTTAGCTATCGGTTCAAATCTAGCAGTGAGAGCTGCTAGAGGTATAGCCGCTGTATATACTTTTTCCTACCACTGGTAATACCACTCTTGTATTAAATGCCCAAAACTCTCATTCACTTAAAAAAACTTTTTTAATACTGTATTACTCCAAACATATTATACAATACTATACAGACATACATTGAATTATAGCGATAGTCAGTGGTGTTGTTGGACTGAATCTGTGGCACTAACTTACCACTCCTGTGGCAGAGCCAGCCATACCAATGAGTTAAAAGCAAAGGACACCCTAAAGGGATCACTGGGATAACTGGTCTCTCAGTTATAAAGTATATCTAAATCTCTTATTTACTGATTTTTGTAGTAAAAATTCTCTGATAACTCAGTTTTCATTTCAAATCATAGAAATTGAAAAACGTTTTTTTGCTGATAAAATTTTCACTTAAAATTCACATAATTATTAAATTAGCCCATTATTCAATGCAAACTATATATTTTATTATTCAAACGATAAAAACATATTTATCTTTTAGAGCCTATCAGTCAACTACCTGTCTGACTCTTCAATGGGTTTTAAATGGGGAAAAAATTATACAAAAATGAAAGTCTATTTTTCGTAATTATTTTTCCACAAATATCTACATTTGCTTTAAATAAACACAAAATAAACAACAAAAATCTATGTTAGTTTTTAGTGTAATTATTTATTAGAGTCACTAATTTTGCAAATTTAAAATATTTTTTAAATGCCATAAGTTTTTTGTCAATTTTTGCTCTCAATACTAGCAATCATTACTGTTGTATGTATTAAATTTATAAATAATTATATGAAAAAATAAAAATATTTTCAAAGTATTTATATAATTTGTAAAAAAATTTAAAAATTATATTTAAATATATTCAAAATTGTATAATTTTCTGAATGATAGTTATTATGTGGTTTATATTACTTACTTATGAGTTGCTAATATCTAAATAATAGTGACTAAAATATTTGATATGCATAACACCTACATACTAAACGATTAACAGCAATTATATTATACTTTTACTAATTATCATTTTAAACGCTATCTAACATCATYATTATTATTATTATTAAAATTCATTAAACAATATATTATATTTATAATTATGACAAAATAGTCAGACATATACAAGCAGTGAATTATAATATATACATATAATATATAATAGAAATTAAATCAATATTAAACACCTATAATAAGTTCACGTAATATAACCACTTTCTCTGACACTTTCAGTATATATATTGTCGACCAGTATATCGTGTTATTAATTGCTTTGTTTACCAAACCGTTTAATAWGTCTGTAATAAGTGACACACATTTTTTGCATCCCATTTGTTTGTAATCTATTAAATAATATTTGCAAACAAAGTTTATGCCTAAAACATTACACAATTTTTAAAAATATCAAAACAAATAAAAAAATCTAATAAATAATAAAATCAGTAATAGACTGACAATCAATGCATTTGTCTTATATAACATCAACTAATAGTAAAAATTTACGGACTTATCGTTTTGAATTACAATTAAGTTTGTTTTTAATAGTTTTATCAGTAGTAATGCACAATTGTGTGAGTGTGTGTGTGTGTGTATGTATGTATGTATGTRTGTRTGTGTGTGTGTGTGTGTGTGTGTGTGTGTGTGTGTGTGAAATAAAAGTAATTTAAAATTATAATAAATAAAATAAATAAATAGTTTTTTACCTCAAAAAATCTTCCGACTATTCTCTCTCTCACCAAAATATTATCAATTAAAATAGTAGTTTGAAATATAATATAAATTGTATTATTCAGTACATTATATACTTTTGTATATACATTTGAACATCAGTCTGCCCTCCCATATCTCAATCTATATTTTCCTCTCCCACTAAAAGTTAATTTTGTGGTGAACTCTAAAAAAGTCTATTTAAGAGATAAATAAATAAATTATTAAAATAAATAAAATAACATTAAAATAAATTGAATACTCAAAAAAATGATGTCATCCTCTTATATAATAGAGTAATCATAAAAAATATAAAGATAGATCTAGTAATAGTTGTGTAGCCATTAAGCTTAGGTATCTAATAACAAATATACAACAMCATAATCATCAACTTTAACTTCAACAACAAAAACATTATACAGTTTTAATAGTAAGCCAACTAATATTTAATGACATAACAGGCAAACAGTAATAAAAATCCTTAACCTTAAAAATAATATAAACTTATAGTACAGTAAAGCAATAGCTATAAGAAGTTTGTTTTGGAGTCTAAGTGGACATATTGTAGAAAATAAAATCAATTTTAAGTATATATTTGTATATATATATAGTATTTTTTTAGCATATAATCTAATAGTTTTAATTGCATTAAAAAGTTTGAGATATATTTTTGTTATTTAACTTTAAGGCAATACAAATTCAAAATAAAAATATACTTTAAGCTAAATAAAAGTAAAAATTTGTATTTTTTCCAAATGTATGAAAAWTTTTTGTAATTACATTTTTTCTCAATACTTCTATGTGTTTRTACAGTATATACAGTGTATATATTCTCTAAATTATAATCATATCATATTATATGAGAGATTATATAATTTTATTTTAAACTTAAAAATTATATAAATTAATTTTACGAGAAAAGTTGTCGAATGAATATTAATTATATAAAAATTTTATTTAAGTAATTATCTAAATATCTATAAATCCACTTTTATGTAAACTATATAAAAAATACATCTATTTCCGCAAACAATAATTTTTATTTTTTAAATATTTTTACAATATAGCTTTTATTTATTTTTTGTCCAATTAGTAATCAAATAAGCAGAAAAAATCATTTTATATATTTTAATTAAGATAATAATATTTAATAACATAAATAATTTTAAATAAAATATTGTTAAGTAAATACTGTATTGTAAATATTTTATAAAATTTAATAAGTTATATGCAATAAATAAGCATATAAAATAAATGAAATAATAATAAATGAAAATTTATCATAAAAAATAATTTGCCAGTTTAAAATCTAATCGTTAATTATGTAATAGATATCATCGATTTAATCTTATTAAATGCTTAAACAAAATATAAAACAAATAAAGATTAAAACTCAATTCACACTTGATATATATTTAATAAATTAAATACATTAACATAACTATCTATAAAGTTAATTAATTCATTTATTTAACTTATTATATTAATATTCATTTTGCTTATTTGATAAAAAACTTGACAACAATAGCAACAATAACTGTCAAAACGATTATTTTAATTAATTATAATATTTTGTAGAAATATTTTTTATTTATTATGTGTTGTTTACATATCCAACATAAGCAGCATTGCATATTAATTGATTGAAAATAAAAAAAATAAAATAATAACAAACTAAAAGCCGTTATCATAAAATTTGTAGTGTTATGAAACTATTGTTACAAACAATTATTACATAGCAATTGTCAGTTAGTAAAAGTTATTTATTTTATTTTTTTGAAAGTTTTTTTAAAAGTAAAAAGAAATAACTGTTAGAAAAAAAGGGAACATATGTTTGACATATACAGTAAACTAAGGTTTTGCTAAAACATTAAATTTGTGATTGAATTGTTTGTATGCTTTAAATACACAGCAAGAAATCAATAAAATAATATTTTAATAATCATAATACTTAAATAACAATAATAACAATGATATTATTAAAATATTAAAAGTTTTTTAAATGACCTCAAAATTCATAAATTTTTTAAATTCAAAATATATTGCAGTTTTAAAAAGTATTATAAATTATTTTAAAATACAATTAATTTAAAAAAATATATGAAATATACTTTACATGTATATGATATTAAATACATTTATTTACAGGTTTCTCAATTTGATCGATACATTGTTTAAACTATTATATGTTAATAGTAGATAATTGTCAATAAAATGTTTCAACAGTTAAATTTAAATGTGGAGCATAATGAACTGTATAATATWATAATAATAATAATAATCATAAATAACAATAACAATATATTAGCAGTAATAATAGCAATATTAATGACTTTAAATTGAGAAATTATTTGATTTTATTCACACATATAGCAAATATATATACACTTTATTTACAGTTTTACAATTAACTATATAATAAAACTCTATTGATTTTTTCACAAATATTTGCGGAAATAATATATAAATTTAATACAGTATACAGCATGACATTGTTATAATCACAATCATAAAACTTTATATTAAATGATTGTTATAAACTAATATATATATATAAGTGAATTAAAACATATATTTTTAAACTTAAAAAAAGACAAAAACAAGTTAAATAAAAATTTTAATATCATTAGAAATATCTCCTGATTTTCCTCATAAAACTTTGATATATTTTTTTAAATAGTAAACAGTAAATGAAATCATAATACAGTATAATATCCATTGTAATGGCCATAAAAGTACATTTGGTATTTAAAAATGTGTTATAAATCGTGTTTAATAGGTGTGTCAAAAATTATTGCCCAATTTTAAATTAAATGTCTAACTACTATTTTAGTTAACATGTAAAATATGAATATAATGTAAATAAATTATTTACTATTTAATAATATTATATAAAAAAATAAGAGTATTATATAACTTATATAATATTAAGAATAATAAATCTTTTTTAAATTGTATTAATAAATAAAATGTTTTTAATATTATGAAAATTAAGGCGTT